TGGTGATAGCTGGTTATCCGGGTCAACATATAGGATACTTTTTATCGCGGGAAAATATCTCATTTCTGAGAAAAAAATACAAAAGTGCAATGTAAGAGTATACTAATATGTAAAACCTAAGAATTTGGTTTTTGGTCATCTGAACGCGGGCGGAGCCGCGGGCAATGCTAGTATTATATAAAGATGTTTAATGTTTATTTCTGTTTTGCGGCTTTATTGTGTCACTGCGATCATTCTGGTCTATTGTGATCGCCGTTTTTTATACTAGAGTGAACCACTAAAGGAGGCGAATAGTCGAGCGGGTTACAAGACCTATATGATGACCACGACCAGTCTGTCACGACTGTAACGACTAAGAAGAAGAAGAAGAAGAACCACTCAACCCTGCAGATGTTAAGAACGGCAGGATTTTCTTAGGGTTTACACTCAAATAAAATAAAAATTTCATCTAAGCTTAAAAACTGTTTTCCTAGATGAAGACTTCGTTTGTGCATGAGCGATCATGTTTCATGTTGCGAAACCCCCCAGTTGCGATTCAGATGCGTATTTAATATTTTAAACTATAAAATAACAGATGTCTAGGTATTTATATGTATATACTAGAGACTCGTGCTCGCTACGCTCGGGTTCGTCCCTAGGTGATTATTTAAATTGGCATAACTTTTTTATTTATGAACAGATTAAAATAAAACAAATACTAAATGTTAAGTGAGACCTACCACACTATATTAGTGAAAATCACACCCAAATCGGCTAAGTCGTTTCTGAGATTAGCGCCCACAAAAGCACAGTAAAACAGACAAAAATTCTAAAAATCATTGTTTTGGGTTCTATTGCTTTAATAAAACTCTCAATAATAATTGTTTTTAAATATCTTCCATGTACAGACAGCGATCAGTTACAATTTTATTATATGTATACATATAAATATTTAGATACTGACTAAAGTACAACTTCTCTAACTCCAACAGAATTTAATTTATTTTTCTACCAACTTTATACAATATATTTCTAAAGTTTCTCTAATAAAATTTTAAAAGTCATTGCGAGACCAATGTTAAGTAAAAGCCAAGAAAAGCCGAGTTATTTACGGCCGTAATTTACACTCGCCCGTACTTGAGGGAGACCGGAACAAATTAACATTTATTATTTTATACTCGTATTACTATAAGTTTTATTTTTAGTCTGTATTGCGTAATAAGTAGAAATAGCGAGATTAGTTTTGCGACAACTAACCTAATTTGATTCTTTCGCATTTATACTAATGTTATAAATGCGACAGCAAATTGTTGCTTGGCTTTTAATTGGTGCAATTTTAGCGTTTAATCGAGGACTTTGTTTATATTTTTTGTGTTTTTTTTAACCTTCCTAAATTGTTCCATCCAGTATTACTAGTAAACATAAAAAAATTCATTCATTCATTCATTCATTCATTGAGGGAATAAAAATTATGTTTGGTTATTAGTAGGTACATTTTACATAACTAGCAACTCACTCTCGCTTCGCTTGTTTCGTTCCTAGAGAAAAACAAAAACAAATCTATCCCACGGGAACCGTACGTTTTTCCGGGATAAAAAATAACTTATGTACTATTCCAGACTATAATCTATCTCTGTGCCAAATTTCATCCAGATCCGTTCAGCCGTTCTGGCGTGATTGAGTAACAAACGTCCAACATCCATCTAAACTTTCACATTTTATAATATTAGTAAGAAGTATGATCTCAAAAATAAAGTAAAAAGGACAATTTACAAAGCTTAATTTACAAGATACATAATTCACAAACAAAAAAAATACCCGATGCGTAAAAAATTTTAGATTTAAAGATTTATAATGGAGTAAAAAATAAAAATATAAATTAATGTATACTTTTCTTTAATTTTTCTTAAAATACTACTCCAAAATAATATATTATATTATTTTATTAATTCACAGCGCGAGCAAACCCGAGTGCTAGCTAGTGTATCAAATCTTTATACGCTTTTATTTTAAAGTCGGTTAAGTTTTCTATACATTCATTCAATTTAACACCCAAGACCAAATAGAAAGCTTTAATAAAATTTAAAACTTCAACACTAAACGATTAAGGGGATCCGAGTAAGCTCTGTAATTCAATGTGCTTGGAATGTTAGAGGGGTTTGTCTGAAACTGTTTTTATTTTACTGTGTTCATGCAAAAGTTTATTTTATATATAAAATTCTGTATAAACAGATAAAAAGATTTTTTGTCGGTTTGTCTGGCTGTGACCGCATCACGATAAAACCACTGATAGCTGGTTATCCGGGTCAACATATAGGAGACTTTTTTTGCGAGAAAATATCTCTAAGAAATGTATACTAAACTTTAAAACGTAAATAAAATATATAATTATAGATATATCGAAGTCGGTGTGCTTTGCTTTGTATGGGCTGGCACCGATATCGAAAATATTTGATTAGGTATGTATTTAATAGGTAGGCTTTAATTACTTAGCCAAAGCACACCGACTTCGAAAATATTTGATTAGGTATGTATAGTAAATGAAAACTACCAATCAGTTATTTTTTACTTTTTAGTGCTTTTGTTTGAAGTCGGTTTTTATTTTTTTGTTATTTAGAGTTCTTTTTTGTAGTTCTAGCGCGAGCCAAGCCGCGGGTTCTGCTCGTAATATTTTAAATGTGAAAGCAACTCTGTGTTACTTTTTCACCCTAAAACCCCTAAACAGATTTCGATTAAATTTGGCACGGACATAGATTACATTCTGGGATCGCACATACGCTTATACTTGTCCCAGTTCTGCTTATCACGCAAGCGAACCCGCGGGCAAAAGTTAAACTAACAAAACGTTTGTGTTCGGCCTACTCCTAAGCAACTCGGTCATTAACAGTTCGCGTAATTACTTTTAAAATAAATGAACAAAGTTCGAAGCTAGAATTTAAGTACAAAAATCTATATATAAATAGACGAAGTTCCCTACCTTTTTGCCCTCTGTTTGTCAAGAGTTTTTCAGTAGCTTTTGATGAGCTTTAGTGCTATCAATAAATTTTGGAAAGTGTATCCCAAGGGAACTGTTATTATTTCCGGGATAAAAAGTATCCTTTATGTTATTCTGATGTATGAGCTATATTATTGTAAAGTTTAATTAAAATCCAATCAGTAGTTTTTGCGTGAAAGAATAACAAACATCCATACTCAAATATATTCTCACAAACTTTCGCATTTATAATATTAAGTATAGGTACATCATATATTTTTCTCAAATTTTCAATAATGATTAAGTAGAAGTAGGTAATATTTAACAACTGTTCAAATATAATTCTTTTGATAATTTTTATGATTTTCTTATAACCTTTAGTAAGTTGATATTATCTACATTACGTACATATATCCATAGGGGCTATGGGTTCGAGTTTCATTAGAAACTTATTGGAAAACTACAAAATCTAAGTGGTGATGTTCTGATATTTCCATGGAGGCGAAAACAAACATTACAAAATTACCTAAATATTTAAAGAAACACTAAACCTTAATCAATAAATAGATGTCAATATGTATTTCTTTTTACTTATGTATACATACATTTTAGTAATAGTAAATCCTACTAATATCTATTATAAATGCGAAAGTTTGTGTATGGATGTATAGAAATAGATGTATGGATGTTTGTTACTCTTTCACGCAAAAACTACTAAATGAAACTATTTTAAAGAAATTGGATAATAATAGGCTACTTTTTATCCCGGAAAAATGTACGGTTCCCGTGGTATACATTTATTTTTGTTTTTCGCTAGTTATCAACATATTAATACGCTTTGTTTTATCTTCATTTGTTAGGTACTAAAAATGTCATCAAATTAATTAAAAACCTTGTTATGTGCAAAAATTTCTCAATATTACTAGATACCTCATATTTGGTCAATTTATATTAATTTATATTATAAAAGTTTGTAACTTAACCTAAAAATCTCCGAGTAAAATGGCTGTAGGTACATGTTGTACAGACAGCCAGGACGATATTGCAGATTTTTGGCAACGGCACTATAGAAATAGCCAATCTCATTACAACTACTTGAGTAGATTTAAAGATACAATTTGTGCTCTCCATATTATATAACTATAGGCATGCATTAGATTATAAATGTGAAAATTTAGATGTTTGGATATTTGTTACTTTATCACGCCAGAACTGTTAAACGTATCTAGAAAAAATTGCCACAGAGGTAGATTATAGTCTGGAGTAGCACATAGGTTACTTTTTATCTCGGAAAATGTACGATTTCTGTGGGATAAATTTGTTTGTTTCTCTAGAGGAGAACCCAAACGAAGCGAGGGTGAGCCGCTAGTATGTACATATAATATATGAATGTATGTCCGATTCTATGTTCCCACTTTAAAATATTAATGCATCGTTATATTCATCTTAATCACCCAAGTGTAATATATATTACCAACGGTATCCCCGATTGTGTGATTTTTGATAATAAAATCTGGCTGCTACAAGGAGGTATATCAAGGGCGTATGAAATACAGGACAGATTACTAATATTTAAACTCGCATGTAGTAAGTCTGGTACTGATGACATTGTATAAATTTGTAAGTCGTCGGAACATAGGCAGTTGATAGAAGAAATACAATGGCGAATATAATTACACTTATGTCCATTAAATAGTTTATAAATTATTTGAATTTTAATAAAATAAAATGCATTTTTGAACGAGTGTCTTTTCTGATCTGTGGCACTGGCAACAACACAACAGCTAAAACAGATGACTTTGACATATGACATTGTCAATGCAATGGCACAACCGGTCACATTTTAAATTTTGCATCATTAGCAAGAGAATTGAATTAAATTTTGCATGTGTGCCGGATCCTAAATAATTAATAATTTTAGTTTAATTACAAAGCTGAAGCGAATGTTTCATATAATAATCAATTAAAATATTAAATAGAACGAAATATTACTCAAAAACAAACTTTTTAGAGTTTTTTAGTTGTGCTTATCATAATTACAATTAATATGTCACAGGTTAAATTAAATTTGATAGCTGCTGCCTGTGAAAACATGGGTATTGGTGCGAATGGATCACTTCCTTGGAGACTGAAGTATGTAATAAACAAATGTACTTTCATATACTTTTAATTAATTAACTGATTTTTCTAAAATTAGTTACTAAAAGTGTACCTATTCAGTTTTCGAAATTTAATCATAACAATACTTTCCATATATGGCTTTAATTGTAATTGTTGAACATATAATTAACATGCAAAAATCAAACTTCCACTCATCTATAAAAAAATATAAAAATAATTTGAACAAGTATAATATTTGAAGCTTACACAATCTAAACTTTATTTTCCAGAAAAGAAATGGCATATTTCACTACAATGACAACAAAAGTGAAAGATAGTTCTAAAGTCAATGCAGTCATTATGGGAAGACGAACTTGGGATTGCATACCTAAGAAGTATAGACCGCTTTCTGATAGGATTAATGTTGTTTTGACCCATCAGGTTGATACTTTGAAAGAAAAGGTATGTATGTACATTATATACAAATCATTTCTGAAAGTAATATAAACCTTATTATTTATTTTATTATTTTAAAATATAAATAAAAAAATTTGTTGGGATATTAATACACAGCACCATCTAGTTCCCATGGTAAGCTACGAGGCCTGTGTTATTGATACCAGATAGTTGATACACAACATATATATAGCTTTAAATACATACATATTGTAAATATAAACACCTATAACTGAAGAACAAATATTCATGCTCATCACACAAATGAATGCCCCCAGCGGGACTCGAACCCATGTCCACAGCAAGTAGGGTCACTACAAACAGTACCAAACATGTTGTCTGAATATATATTGTAATATTAATGTATTTCTTTAGGTCAATAATTACATTATAACTGTCTGTAATTTGAGTTTCTGAACAATTTAACTAAGTATACCTTATATGGAAAGATTAGTCTCAAGGTCTCAAGATATTATAAAGTGATAATATTTTATTTAATTGTTTATATCACAATTAACTGTTATTTATGTTATTTTAAACTTGATCTCCCATGTTTAAAAAATGATAACTATATTACATTTGTTTGATTGTTTGTACAGAATAGCTCTGAAACTACTGAACCGATTTAGATGACATTTGGTAAGAAGATAGTTTATGACCCTGGGAAGGACATAGAATAATTTTTATTCCAGATATTATACTTAAAGGCGGTGAAAATAGGGATGAAATTTTGTATGGGAAATCAATCTTAAGTTATTGATAAACTTGACTTATGAACTTATATGAAAACTATTTTGTAATTAATGTGCCTTAATATGTGTTTTTTATTTATTCATGTAATATCTTCAAATTGTTATTAAAGAAGTATTTGTAAATTGTAAGTTAGACTAAAGGAGCCGTTACTTTGCCAATTTCATTCTTATCAGGAACAAAACTTATGCTAATTATTGTTCATGCAGTTAGATGTATTGTATCTAATTTCTTCTAAGTTCATTGAATTTAATGTAAATAACTTCCAACATGTTCCTGCTATTATAAAATACTCTAATGTATTTTGCTCACTATCCTGCTTATATGGAAAATGGTCCGGGGATGTGACACCTTGTTCCAAGTCCCTAAAGATTCGAGACTCTTAAAGAGTTTTCTTTCTGCTTAATAACAGTTAATATTTTTTCTCATATATTATACAATAGACAAATACATAAACTATGACGATTTCCTTTAAATGACAAAAGCTATACTTACATATTTTAGTAAAATTTTACATTTTCAGGTGCCAGAAGGGGTAATTGTTGTTCCAAGTCTTGATGAAGCAATTAAATATATAAAAAGTAGAGATGATATTGAGATGACTTGGGTCATTGGTGGTTCATCTATTTACAAGGTATAATCTATATAGATACATAAAAGTAGCGACTCACCCTCGCTTCGCTCGGGTTCATCCCTACCTTGCTTCCCGATATGAGCTATCATCGCCATTTTCATACTCCCCTAAGGGATGATTGCCGGGATAAAATATATATAATAAAAAAGTATCCAATGTCCTTCCCAGGGTCTCAAACTATCTTCTTACCAAATTTCATCTAAATCGGTGCAATAGATCCAGAGATTATCCCCTACAACCTCACAAACTTTACCTCTTTATAATATTAATATAAATTGAAGTGTTTATATACAGTACTTATAAGAAAAATACAATTTTTAAAATGTTTGTCTGTCTGTCTGTTCATTCCACTTAATCTCCGAAACGGCTGGACTGATTTTGACGGGACTTTCACTAGAAGATAGCCGATGTTATAGGGAGTAACATGAGCTACTTATATTTTAGAAAAAGAATTAGGGTTCCGCTCAAAAAAATTAAAACGTACCTAGGGACGAACCCGAGCGAAGCGAGGGTGAGTTTGTCTGTCTGTCTGTTCATTCCACTTAATCTCCGAAACGGCTGGACTGATTTTGACGGGACTTTCACTAGAAGATAGCCGATGTTATAGGGAGTAACATGAGCTACTTATATTTTAGAAAAAGAATTAGGGTTCCGCTCAAAAAAATTAAAACGTACCTAGGGACGAACCCGAGTCTCCGAAACCTGGACTGATTTTGACGGGACTTTCACTAGAAGATAGCCGATGTTATAGGGAGTAACATGAGCTACTTATATTTTAGAAAAAGAATTAGGGTTCCGCTCAAAAAAATTAAAACGTACCTAGGGACGAACCCGAGCGAAGCGAGGGTGAGTTTGTCTGTCTGTCTGTTCATTCCACTTAATCTCCGAAACGGCTGGACTGATTTTGACGGGACTTTCACTAGAAGATAGCCGATGTTATAGGGAGTAACATGAGCTACTTATATTTTAGAAAAAGAATTAGGGTTCCGCTCAAAAAAATTAAAACGTACCTAGGGACGAACCCGAGCGAAGCGAGGGTGAGTTTGTCTGTCTGTCTGTTCATTCCACTTAATCTCCGAAACGGCTGGACTGATTTTGACGGGACTTTCACTAGAAGATAGCCGATGTTATAGGGAGTAACATGAGCTACTTATATTTTAGAAAAAAAATTAGGGTTCCGCTCAAAAAATTAAAACGTACCTAGGGACGAACCCGAGCGAAGCGAGGGTGAGTTTGTCTGTCTGTCTGTTCATTCCACTTAATCTCCGAAACGGCTGGACTGATTTTGACGGGACTTTCACTAGAAGATAGCCGATGTTATAGGGAGTAACATGAGCTACTTATATTTTAGAAAAAGAATTAGGGTTCCGCTCAAAAAAATTAAAACGTACCTAGGGACGAACCCGAGCGAAGCGAGGGTGAGTCGCTAGTTAAAGGTATAAGGTAAAGTAAAAGGTACTAGAATAATATAACTATTCCTTTCACTTTCATACTCTGGTGGCGGTCCGGTAGGAGTAGAATTCGAGTGAGAGATTATGTGTAGGGCCACTTTGTGTGGTGCTTTAATTTAGAGGCACGGGATTGAGTTACCGTTTACTTGTCAACTTTGGGCTCTTTTTTCAAAAAAAAATTTTTAATTTCTTAACAAAAAACTCATGATCTAAATTTGGCCTGACCCGAAACTCGAACCCAGGACCTCCAAATATGCAGCCATACATGCTAGCCCACGATATACACCGCCGAGGCAGTATATATCGTGTGCTGCTATTTCGTGGTAAGCAACTCGTAGAATGTAAATAGTGCCATCTATGATCACGCAGCAACAACCCATTTACCTGAAATTTACGAAAATCAAATTAACGAACGCATAATATCTCTCCCGTGACCCTGATTGTTGTAAAGCATTCAAACAAATTAACTTTTTGTCTATGTAAATTAGCCAATTTTTATGGCTAAATATGTTAATATGTTAATGTTAACATGGGGATATTAACACTCAGCGCCATCTAGTTCCATGGTAAGCTACGAGGCTTGTGTTATGGACACCAGATAGTTGATACACTACATATATATAACTTTTAAATACATACATACTATAAATATAAACACCCATGACTGGAGTGCAAACATTCGTGCTCATCACACAAATGAATGCCCCCAGCGGGACTCAAACCCGCGACCGCTGGCACAGCAAGTAGGATCACTACAAACTGAGCCAAACGTGTCGTCAAATGGCGCAATGAGTTATTGGTTAATTTTTATAAAGAGAACCCATTTACCGTGTGGTCTTGTTGAGAACAAATACAGTATTTATACCTATGTTTTGGTTTAGAATTTTGTAAAAAGTTATCAATAAATGAAAAAAAGTATATTCTGCTTTTAAAAATTTCGGAATTTTTCGCGATTATTACGATTTTTTATTCCCGATGTTTCGTATGCTTTAAAACAATCATGGTCCCGGAGAGACCAAGGCTTTTGTCTGCTTTTGTGCTGGTTGTCTCGGCGGAAACCGAATTTATATTTCTTTTCAGGCGGCAATGGAACATCCGAACTGTGGGAAAATCTATCTAACAGAGATTCAAAAATCATTTGACTGCGACACATTTTTCCCAAACATTGACAAGCAACAATTCCATTTAGTCGATGAGGAAGAAGTGCCCGGTGAAAGGCAAATGGAAGGCGATATAAGCTACTATTTCAGAGTTTACAAACGATTGTAAAATCCTTAAAAAATACGCTTCAAATACTTACAAATCATGAGATGCTTCGTGCTTTATATTTGAAAATTGAAACAACTTTTTGAAACATAATTTATATTCCATGGGATTATTTGATGTATAATATTGATAGAGAAGGCAGTGGTAGCCCAGTGATAAGGCGCTCGCTTTGGAAACCGAGTGAAGCGGGTTCAAATCCCGGGTCTCGCGCCTTTGATATTTTCCTGTGCGAATCATTTCCAACATGATTACCACTTGTCTTACGGTGAAGGAAAACATCGTGAGGAAACCTGCATGTCTGTGAGATCCTAGCAAGTTTTCGAAGGACATGTGTAGTCCGCCCGTACTTGTCCAGCGTGGTGGACTATGGCCTGGTCCCTTCGCATTGAAGGGAGGCGCACCCCCAGTAGTAGGACGTTAACAAGGGCTGAATACATACATTAATAAGGATAAATTTCGGATAAGCCCATACATCTTCCGATATATCTGAAAGATACAAACTACACATATATTATATCAACGCGTCGAAACGCTGATAACGGATATGATAGGCAAAATGGCCGCATATTTCATTTTCCTATTCCGTAAGATAATCATGTTAGAAATGATTCGCGCATGACAATTTGATGTAACGAGATCCGGGAGTTCAACCCACTTCAATCGAATTCCCAAGCGAGCGTGTTACCATTACCAAGAAAAGCTTTGCCTAAAATAAATTATTTAGGCCTTTTTTTAAGTTGATAGCGCGGAAGCAAATAATAAGTGTAGAATAATGTTGGACAATAAACTACGTGAGGAAATGATGCTATTAGAATATATGTATATCTGTAAACTATTTTTTGTAATAGTTATACATAACTAACTGTTGCCTTCAAATTGTGAACAAAAATATAATACATAATAACTTCCCAAGTAATTTCGGCCACGGCGGCAAATCTCACTAAGACTGGCCAGCGCATGAGATATTGTATAGTATAGTGCAGACACAACGTGCACTCTCTGGTCCTGTCACTCTCATACTGAGGTGACACCGGAAACACCGCCAACTTCCCAATTCCAAACTGCTATTGTGAATTTCTTGATTCGATTCTTGAAAAATACTCAAATGAAATTGAAAAATACTCAATAACTGGACTTGGCCTGATCCAGGACTCAAACCCAGGACCTCCGAATCTGCGGCTAATGGTAATCACTACATCACAAAGGCAGTGAACAAAAATAAATGAATATTGTTTTTGGTTATACTAAAAATTTTCCGGTAGGTACTGGTAAGTGCATTTATTATTTTTAATCTATACTTAAAAAAAGTGATGTCTGTGTTTATAACATAGGTTGTCACTTGTAATTTCTTTTTTGATTTTACAATAAAGGTTGTAACTTTAAAAAAATATTTGACCGACTTCGAATAGGAGGAAGTCAATTTAGATGTATTTAGATTTGCTTATTGTTTAAACCTTAGCCAAATTTGGACTCGATTTTCATGATATTCTTTTTAATAACCATAGATATATGTAATTTTAAGGGTATAAATTTTAAAACACCAAAACATGGGCTTAAAAGTTGATTTTTTTTTATTTATTTTAAATATTCGATTAACAGTCCCCCTATAATATGGTAAATATTTTTATCTCAAAATATCTCAAACATGTGACACTCAGGAGTACCATATTGCTGCCTTTTCGCTGTATATACAACAATGGAAGGGTATAGGAAAAGAACAGGAAATGTCCTAATGAATAGATTTTATGAGAAAAAACCAATTTAAAGTTTAGAAGTTATATTTTTATTGAGATCAAAGTATGTAGTCACTTCTTACTATGTAGATATTTGGACAATCCTGCTTCTTCACCGGTATGTCATGGACATACCCAGTACGTTACGTTTTGGGCATAGATCAAAACGTATTTATAGTGAGATCTGTTGAGTATTTGTAAAAACCAGTGGTTGGGAATGCAAGTACCATAGATGTAGACTTGGTACCAGTACAAAACAAAAAAACAAACAAAAATTGTGACTTTCCCTGCACTCTTCAATTATGATGCCGCTGATTAAAAATGGCGGCCAATATCAAATACCAACTTCTATAGGAGAATATATACACCCCTTTTCCCCTAAAGTTGGAGTTTTTCAATAATTTTGATGTCTGTATTTGAATCTCACCAGTAGCAATAACATTAATTAAAAATTATGAATATTTGTCGCCTTAACGCTCGTTTGTTCAAACTACTAAATACTTGTTGAATTTACAGTAGAATTTTGTTCCTTCTACTTTAAAAACTAAGCTTTTTTCTCTAAGATTTATATATATATATATATATATATATATATATATATATATATATATATATATATATATATATATATATATATATACAATAAATATTTTCGGCTTTTTTAAAAATACAATGTGTATCTAATACCATAGAATTGATATATTGGTAGTTTTAACAAATAAAACACTGGGACGACTAATTACAAATATGTATGTGTAACGTAAAATTTCATCCCATTAATCCTACTAATATTATAAATATCAAAGTTTGTGAGGATGGATGTTTAATAGTCACGCCAGAACAGCCTAATGGATCTGGTAGAAATTGGTTTGTAGTCTGGGATAGCACATAGGTTACTTTTTATCTCGAAAAAATGTACGGTTCCCACCGGATAGATGGTTTTGTTTTCCACTAGGGACGAACCAAAGCAAAGCAAGGGTGAGTTGCTAGTGTGGTTATAAGTGAAATCATATAAGGCGTTTTCTGTCTGAATAACCAATAAATTTTCATCTTATACTTACACAGGTCATGTGTAATTTTATTCCTGTTAATCTCCAGTTAGAGTATGTATACTTATAAAAATGTTACCACTCTTTTAGATATTATTATATAAGCAACAAGCATTGATATTATTTTGATGTAACTTGAAATGTTATAAATTGTTTACATTAAAGATACAAAATATATGAGTATGTTTTATTTACTACCAAAACCCAGAGCCGGATTATCCATAAGGCAGTTTACGCAACTGCCTATGGGCCCCGCATCAATTGGGGGCCCCACGCACTGAGAAAAAAATTTAAAATGTTTCATAGTGAAAATTTGAAAAATTAAAAAATTAGGTGAAATCCCACCATGAGGATAAATGCAAGTTACATTTTTATGAAATCTACCTAATAACGTAACAATTGCAAATATAATTGCATTGTGGTAGAACAAATGTATTTCAATAAATTAGAAAAGGGTGAAGGGGCCCCTAGAATTGCATTGCCTAGGGGCCCCTGACATCTTGGTTAATTCAGCCCTGCCAAAACCTATTATATAATGCTATGAATATTTTCTGCACCGCCCTGCACGGCAACAATTTCAGAAAACTAATTAGTAATTTCTAATAATGATTTGTATTTGGTAGAATTTTTTCTACCAAAATGGTAGAATTTTAATAAAATTAAAAATAATAGAAATTTCACACTAAAATGTAAAAGATATTGCTACTATCCAAGATTTTTTCATCAGACTGATTATTCCAAGAGGCTGCTTTCAAAAGACAAACTTCAGTTTTATACATTAGTGCAGACAGATAACATAATACTATACTAGTACATATATATAGCTTCATCCCATACAAAGAAATCGAATCGCGCTAATTCGGGCTATTCTTCTAGCTATTTTTGTTTGTTTCAATAGATAACAGATGTCGTTGATTCGCAAATAGCTAAACTGTTTTATTTCTTAAATATGTGCAAACTAACGTATGGTAAATACAGTTAAAATCATCCTGCATTAGAATAAAAAAAATCAGTAATTTTTAACTGTGGTAAACAACTCATAAAATTAAAAGCGCCATCTGTGAATACACTACAAACCCATCATCTGATTGCTGATATTTCAATATTTTACGCAAATTTGATTTACGAGCGCTTTATTTCAATTCGAATATTTTTTGAAACCATAATATAGGTACATTAGTGGGATATTTTTTTTACTTTTGTTAATTTAACACATCTATAACAACAAATCGATACATGTAACGTTATCTATTGACAATTCTTTGAACTAATTTTTCTTTGCTCGTGATGAAGACTCCCATGGTACACATATAGTAGTTATATATACAACTAGCGGCTCACCCTTGTTAGTGTACGTTCACACGGCGTCGCAGGATTCGGTTTAGTAGCAACAGTATTTTAATATACGAGTTCACACATGCATTCGGTTTCAAGGCACGGCAAAAAAACCTTGCTGAAGTTGACATCCGATTTGGCGACTACAAACCGATCCGGCGGTACTGCAAAATGTAGGATCCGGTGCAGTGGCATAGCGCATTCAATACATGCGTTCATACGATACAAGCAGGTCTAGATTCGATTATTTGCCGGATCTTGAAACCGAATACATGTCGGTTAGCCCAAGCGATTTTTAGTTTTTGCAAAAGATTATCAAATGTAGGTATAGTAGTTAAAAATTGTAATGGATCATTTTTCAACTGACGCATTACAGTTGTAAAGGCGCTAACTGGATAATACCAGTATACTATAGCAAAACTGTTCACGTCCATTGCTTTCACACTAATGAGAGGCACTGTGCGCACTCCTGCAAAAAAACCGGATGGCGTGTTCACATGGGATTCCGATTCGGGGCCATCGGATACGGCAACGCAAGACGTGCCGTGTGAACACAACATTTGGTTTTTCCAGATCCGATGAAAATAAGATCCGGCAAAACGTGTCTCCGTGTGAACGTAGCAGAGATGCGCAAACTAGGTCCTGGAGTGGATTGAACATGGAATAGTTCCTTTCCATAAAGGAACTATGTTCACGAAACATGTTCGCGGAACTATCTAGTTCCGATAGTTCATCCGATCCGATCGTTCCGATTTTAACAGGTTATCACTGTCATCGGTTCTCGAGGACAGCATAGCGGGAGATATAGTTTTAATTGACCGACTTCAAAAAAAAGGAGGTTATCAATTCGACACGTATGTATATAATATTATTAGAACTGCAAGATATTAACGTAATATGATATATGTATGTATGTATGTATGTATGTATGTATGTATGTTTGTTTGTTTGTTTGTGTGTATGTATGTTTGTCCACGCATTTCGCCGAAACTACTATTCCGACCGACGTGATGATGCCTTTTTATTTGCTTACATTTATTTTAACTTAGGGAATAGTAAGAATTTCATCAAAATCGGTTCAGTGGTTTTGAAGATATGGATAAAAAAGTGTATTTTTTGTAATTACTACTTTTTACAAAAACTATTTTAGTTTTTACTTAAAACTAAAAATTACGAAATAAAAAAGGTTTTAAAAAAAATTAAATCAACTTCAAAAAACTACGGTGCTTTCGCGCGCAATGTGAATCTAGACGAACGCCACAAAGTACAAAAATATTGTGTCAAAAGTGAAAGAATATTATAATTTAAAAATATATTATTAATGTTTTAAAAGTTTAAAACGAAAATCAGATTTAATCAATGAATTATCGGCTTTAACGCACAGTGAAGTAGGCACATTATTAATTGTAATAGCATAGTAAGAGATGAAATTATATTGCGAATACTCGCACACGCACTAGTCACTATAGTAGTTTACACACAGTACCTACGCGATATAATGGCGCTTCCACACAGCAGTGCAGCAGATAACATCACATACCTAACATTTTTTAACATGAAATCATTTTAAATCCACGAAAAAAAGGAGAAGGTTCTCAATTCGACACGTATAAATATATTTTTTTATTGTTTGACCTCTTCTTACTTTGGTACTAGGTACCTACTATATCTACACTAAAAATGGAAAATAAAATCTTAAAAAAACTACTCCAAATAAATAAAAATATTGTAAGTGATTGTTTAACTTATGAATTATTTTATTATATATATTGATCTTAATTTTTAATTATTTATTGTAATTATTTTTATTAATTATAAATTCTAATTCATATTAGGTATTGTAAAAATTAAGAAAAAAGTTTAAATTAATAAACATTCTTTATATACATAATAATTAATATAAAATTAGATCTAATACTATTATTATAATATGAAAAGGTTTTATTAATAATTAATAAATACCTACTTTCTTAAATTGTTTTAATAGCATTTACAGTAAGCGCAAGAAATGAAAGGCTTTTTTATTTTAATTTATTTATTTAATGTTTTCGGTTTGTGTTCGGTGTTTGGCACGTGTTTAAGATTCTCGGTGCTTGTGGCAAGCGCCCAGCATGTGGACGCGGCTTAACAGATGTTTACTAAACTCTTGTGAGGAAGCACCTTTAAATTTAATATACAGCTATAGCTCGGGTAGGTTCGGCAGGAGTCGGTTACGTTCAGTTCAGTCAGTCGCTCCGGTGATCGGTCCAATATATTCGTTTACTCGCTCCATCTCACTCCTGCACATGTGGAACTATATGGAACTGTGAACCTGTTTCAATTGACATCGCGGATTGGAACGATATCGTTCCGGCCTAGGACATAGTTCCGGGAACTATTTCAATCCGGACCTACGCATGTCTAGAACGTAGCGTTATACGCTCGGGTTCGTTCCTAGTTACGATTTAAAGTTTAGTATAGATTTCTCAGAGATGGGATATATTCTCGCAGTAGAAAGTATCCTATATGTTGACCCGGATAACCAGCTATCATAATAACACATTTCATCAAAACCCTCCAGTGGGTTTTCTGTGATGCGGTCATAGACAGACAGACAAAATTTCTAAAAACTATAGATACGGCATCGACAATAATGACAATGTGACTATTTCAATACGATTTTAAAAAACTATTTAATGTACAGATTCGACTCAGAATTTTATTATGTTATTGTTCATTTATCCTAATAAATAAAACGCACGATATTTAAGATAGTATTATTTATTCGTCCATTATTACCTTACATCTAAACTACACAAGACCCACCGTAATACTTGACAAATACTGTGGGCGAGTGGTACTTAGCGATACTATGTGTAAGAATAACTGCTTACAAACTGCTTTATATATTTCATGTAAATACTCAAAAACTGTATTAAAAAAACTCTTTAATGTGCAAAGTAGTTGTTGTAGTAATAAAATATAATATTTTTTTTTTATAATAAGTACCCAAATGACAAATTTAGGGCCAAAAAATTTTTTAATACACATTACGAGTGGAGTCCACTTCGTAATACCTTTTTAAACAAAAAGGTGTGTGTTTAATTTACATAAAATACATAAAACAGATCATTAGTAAATATTATTATTATAAGAATAAAGGAATTAAAACACAAAACTTCTTACATACTAAATAGTGTTAGATTAGGCTTCTTTTACACAATGAAATACTTTGTAATACTTGCTTGTGTGAAAATAGCCTTAGTTAAGTGAATTAGAGTAAAATGTACAGACGTCGACTAAAGTCAACTTACGTTCACTTAATACAATGCAAATTCATCGACGAATGTACTATACTATGTGGATGGGAAATGTATATTTTACAAACATTTTTTTTTTAATTTTTTATATTTTTTAATTTTTTTTTGGGTTTGCTCAACCCCGGAGGTGAATAAACACGACGACATATAGTAATAATATTGATAATAAAAGAAAAAAAATACCTATGCTATCAGAATTCGTTTAAAATCCGACGTCATAGCTACTCACATTATTTGAATCCAATAAAATCTACTAAAATCAAATAAAGTCCAAGTAACACTACATATATAGTAATAATTATTAATATACTACATCTAAACTTGTTGGCGCCACTAATTAAGCCCGTGAGAACGAGAAACGTGCAATTAATTTTTCAGTTTCAAAATTCTACATCTAAATTTAAAATAGCGTTACCGCCCTTGGTGACTACGTCAATATGATGAATGGTAATGGTTTTAAAATCTTCAAAATGGTAGTTTACGATAAACGAAATACAATACAAAATATTTCCCAAAAAAAAAAATACCAATACAAATCCAAAAAATAAATTCGACAAAAAATTGTGTAAACTAACTGTAAAATTAAACTACCGAAAAAAAACTACTATGAAAAATAAAACTACCATAAATTAAGTGAACATGGTAGTTTTTGCTCAGAATACTGTCAATGTCAAAATTGAATTTTTCTACCGAAATGTCAGATTGTCAGTTGTCTACGCACCAAAGACGGTTACTCCATGTTGTAATGCAAGAACATGTATTCAGGGTTGTTTATATCTTGCATCAGGGGCGAGGTCGGTGGCAACATCTGGAACCCCATGAACATGAAAGTGCGAAGCACAGTCGCGCGGTCGGAGCGGCTTTTTAGAACGCAAATGATGCAGCTGGAAAAAAAAGAAATGAGATTAATAAATTACAACCATTTAAGTATATATTCGAAGACACGTTTTGCACTTTGTGTGCCAGCGGTCACGGCGTTCGAGTCCCGCTGGAGGCATTCATTTGTGTGATGAGCACAAATGTTTGTACTCCAGTCATGGGTGTTGTTTATATTTATAATATGTATGTATTTAAAATGTATATATATATGTTGTGCATGGAACTAGTTGGTGCTGTATGTTAATGTCCCAGCATATTATTGAAAAAAGCTGTCATGAGGAATGCCAACAGAAGTGGAAAACTTAAAACTATAAACAGTTGTTATTTTGGATATTCAAATTGATCTGAAATTAAAATTAGTAAATTAAAACTGTTCACATTTATCTGGTTTCGACATCAGACTATCGGCACTCTGAGTGTTAGCGTTGACACGTCACGTGACCATGTCGATGACGACTTACATGAATTTACTCCCCATACAAACAAACCTGCCTATACAAGTTTTCACTCCAAAAATGATTTTAGCTCCACCCTATACCATAATATGATTATTGAAAATAAGTTTTTCAAGAAAGTCGACTTCCAAGATTACATAGATAAGTATATCTACACAGATTAATAAAATTGAAGTGTATGTTTGTAATGTCAAAATAACAGCATTTTACTAAATGCATATGAAATTATATACGGTACTTATAAGGAAAAGACTGATTTAGACGGGACTTTCACTGGAAGACGGCTGATGTTATAGGGAGTAACATAGGCTACTTGTATTTTAGAAAAAGAATTAGGGATCCGCTCAAAAAAATTAAAACGCACCTAGGGACGAACCCGAGCGAAGCGAGGGTGAGTCGCTATTTTTTATATGTAAAGCTAATAACATCGTATTCACATAAAGAAACAATACATACTTAGTACATCCGAGTTTCTCTTCGGCAAAGTCAAGCAACAGTATGAAGCTTTCCTTGCTACCAGACTGCAGTACTCCGGGCATGCGAAGATAGATGGTACTGCCCTTGACCACCTGGAAAATGAGATGTATTAATAAAAAATTGGACAAGTGTGAGTCTGACTCGTACTATGAGGGTTCCGTGAAACGTTTAAAGTTTATAAACGCTTTTTTTTTGTAATGTAACTACAAATCTATGGTGATCGGATTTTACCCTTTACTTGTGCTATAGTGCATTGCTTCTTGTCTATCTTCATGATTCTAAGTCAACGGACAATACCCTAATAGGTTTTGATTCAAGCTCAAAATCAAACGGCCGTATCTTTTGACTTAGAAGTTTGTTTTTCTCACAACTCAAAAGCATTGTAGACTTGATTATTTGATATTAATTTCAACTTGATACTTCCACGCGTTCTTGAGAAAAACGATCTTGACAGACAGACGGACAACAAAGTGACCCTACATGGATTCATTTTACCTTTTACGGTATGGAACCTTAAAAATACATGTTACTGACCAACCGTAAATGTATAGTATTTCTAAAACGAATCAAATAAGCCTTTTAAGGAAACCTGCATGTCTGAGAGAATCTAGCAAATTTTCAAAAGACACGCTCAGTCCGCCCGCACTTGGCCAGCGTGGTGGACTGTGGCCTGATCCCCTCGTATTGAAGGGAGGCCCAAGACCCAGCTGTGGGACGTTAAAAAGCGCTGACCAGAATTTACGAGTACATTAAACAATTTTGGAGCTAGCTCATTCCAAGACTTTAGTCGGTTAGCTAATAATTGGTTAAAAGTATTAGATTTATTTTTCAGGCCGCCAAGTAAAATAAAAAATAATAATATTGTCCATGAATATCGCTCCGACCGTGAGAAAAAAAGTGTGTGTGTGTGTGTGTGTATTTATAAACACATTATTTACGAACGTAAGAAGTTTTACTTCTTTGTTATTATAACATTTAATTAAAAGCTTGTTTTTTAATTAATTCCTTTTTTTAGTTTGTATTTTATTCGTGTTCTTTTCAGCAAACCATTTTCATTAGATATCCATATCATGGGGGTGCATAAAAAAACATAGTCCACCATATTGGATTTACAATAACGTCACTTTGTTGTTTCGCTCATCACATGTTTGGCTCAGTTTGTAGTGATCCTACTTGCTGTGCCAGCGGTCGCGGATTCGAGTCCCGCTGGGGGCATTCATTTGAGTGATGAGCACGAATGTTTGTACTCCAGTCCTGTGTGTTTATGTTTATAATATGTATATATTTAAAGTTATATATGTGTAGTGTATCAACTATCTGGTATCCATAACACAAGCCTCGTAACTTACCATGAAACCAGATAGTCTAGTGTTAATGTCCCAACATATTAATATTTATTTATTTAATGTTTATCCAACTTACAGCTTCCCAGCGAGTGATAACATTTTCCGTGAGGAAAATTTTTAGATCGATCTTAACTGGTTGCTTGTCCTTGCGTTCCAAGATCTTGTTTATAACCTGTGAAAATATAAAACACTTAGAAAAAAAACATAGTTTTTTTTTTGATATATTAATTCCTGTCAACACACCATGTGTAACCATTGTATAAAGCAATAGCGAAAATAACAAAATTTTGATAACTAGATAATTACTTTTTTAAATTCCACCGAAAACAAAATTAACAAGTGTAGCACAATTTAATTTAAAAAATTAAAAAAAATACCGAAAATTGGCTCAAAATAAAAAAAAGAAACAAATTTCATATAGCTGCAATAACTATGCAATGGACCATAAACCATAAACCCAAACTAACCCCATTATATTTTTTTTGAGAGGAGGAGTTTGTGGTGAAAAAGAGACCCTAAGAAGGGTCACTTTTCTCTTTCTCATTCTATCTCCTTCTTAAGCCTCTATTCTTATCTAAATCTCCAATGCCCAAATCCCGCCTTTCGTAACTCCCATTTACCGCCACAAACTCTCTCCAAGACTCAATGAGACCCTTTTAACCCCCATTTACCCCCACAAACTCACCGCTTCCCGAGCAGAGGGTTGAAGAGCTGGATGAGTAGAGTTCACGGAATCAGAAGTGAGACTCTCGGCGCTGCTGCTCAGAGAACTAGCGCTACCCCACAGAAGGGCGCTCAACAAGTCACCTGTAATATGTATATGTTGAAAATAACTTAATCAAAATCGGTCCATCCGTTTGGGATCTACGATGGAACAGACAGATACACAAATAGACACGTTAAACTTATAGCTCTCCTTATTTTGAGCTTTGTTTTTAATAACCGATCTTCCAATACTAATATTATAAATGTTCAAGTTTGCGATGATGTTTGTTACTCAATTACGCCAGAACGGCTGAACGGATTTGGATGAAATTTGTCACAGATATAGATAATATTCTTTCAATGTTATACGTTATCTTTCTTGCGTATATGTTAATGACATATTCGGTAAGTCTATTGATTCTTAATAGGGACCGTGCCTCTAGACTACGCCAACTGAATCTATTGGGATCATTTTTCAATAATGTCAATGTCCAGAAAAAAATGTTGTTTTTTAATTTGTATTTTTGAAGTAAATTTTTGAACTTATACTTCATTTGGCACGTTTGGAAAAATATATGAGAGTAAAATTTCTAGGATGCGCGCGCACACCGACAGCCAAAGAGCGACATGATGAAGTTAGCTGCATTCCTTTTACAAACAGAGAGTTGTGATATACGGGATGTAATCTTTAGCTCATTTTTGTTTTGTTACGCCAAAGAAGTATAACTTCTTATGTGCGTACATAAGTACAAACACACGTTTTTTTATACATACCATAATTTTCACATCATTAACATTTGACACGCTCGTTTGTGGTTGAGACAGTTGCGATTTTATTACTCTTTTCTACTACACCATAAACATGGTTGGACTTAAATATTTTTCACCTTTCTCATTATTCTGACCGTGTACAATATTATTGATAACTGGTTAAAATCCATATTATATCATTTTTTTCATTTTTATAAATATTGTGTTTACAAATGAATGTTTTGATCCCACTATCTTTGGAAATAATTACTAGAGAGACAATAGTGCTGCCCTCTACATTTCACACATGGTCCCCATTACTAATATATTACCAAAATACATAGAATTATAATGATTCAAGAATATTACCATTAAAAGAAGAAAAAAAATGAGTGGAATATTTTTTAGGCAGATATAAAATGTGAAAATTATATCTATATTTTTTACTTTCATAGACTTTCGCGATTTTTTGACATTTTACATAAAATTATCTTTTCGGAAATATTTTTGTCGAGGATTTATTTTTATTTTTCATAATCAAATTCAAAATAATCTTTTCTTCATTTACAACTATATTATTCATGTATAATTAAGTGATGTAACGAATATTCGCATTCGCTTTTACATTCGCGTATATTCGCATATTTTTGGACATTCGCATTTGCATTCGTATTCGCAAGAAACGATAAGAATATATGGCAAATATATTTGACAAACAAAAAGGAAGTTATATATGGAATGAAATGATAATATAACTGATAAGATTCATATTTTTTTTATTTACTTATAAATTATGTATAATATTTGTATAAAAAATATTATGGAACAGCCTTCAGAAGGGCAACTAAATTAGAAATACTACCTCTTTTGGTCTTGTTAGTCTAATTAAAATATTAAAAAAATCACAAGTAATCTAAAACAAATGTTATAAAAAATAAATGTTAAATTTAATTTAAAAAAAAAAATCTAAATTATATTATCTTTTGTCAAAAAACATCTTAGAGGTCTCATCAAGTTATAATAGATCTAATAATTTTGAAATAAAGTTTACAATGTCTTTTTACAGAAAACAAAAAAAATATTTGAACCAAAATTTCTTATATCCAAAATGTATGTGTAAATATTAATAAAAACCTTTGGACTTCAATTATATATTTATTTAATATATATATTTTCTTTTTCTATGAATTAAAAGATAATGAAATATAAACTACACAATTATATGTTATTAACACTTACATATAAATTAATTTGCTAAACTTCAAATTCTTAGTAATCAAATTGAGGTGAAGGAATGTTTTACTTTAAAAATAAAAGTTTTGAGTTTCTTTCGCCATGCAGCCAGTTTCAGTGAGGTGTGTAAAGAAGTCCAGCTCCACTAAAAAAAGTCAACATTCGCATTCGTACTCGTATTCGCAAATATTTGACATGAATATTCGCATTCGTATTCGCGAATTCGAAAAATCGAACATTTGCTACATCACTAATGTAAATGGGGACTGTGCGCGAAATGTAGAGGGCAGCACTATTGTCGCCCTACTGTTTTATTCCCGGAGATAATGGGATCAAAACCTTCATTTGTAAACACAGGATATTTATAAAAATTAAAAAAAATATATATAATATGAATTTTAACCAGTTATCAATAATATTGTACACGGTCAGAATAATGAGAAAGTTACAAAATATTCAAGTCCAACCATGTTTATGGTGTAGTAGAAAAAGTAATAAAAGTGAAACTGTCTTAACCGCAAAAGTTGTACCACAAACGAGCGTGTCAAATGTTTATGATGTGAAAATTATGGTACGCATAAAAAAAACTTTAAAGATACGTAGTGCAATGAAAAATTAAAAAAAAAAATTTTTTCTTGACATTAACAATTGGCGCTAGATGCACGGTCCCTATAAGCACACAAAGTTCTAACTTAGTAATTTGTATTCAATCTTCAACTTACGGTTGTCGTCGTGTGTGGTGGCTGATGATGTTGCGGGGCCCGAAGCCCCGCTTCTCACCCCTCCGGGTGGTGCTGAGCCATGAGCAGGGACATCAGGACCACCTGGTTATATTATTTTAGGGATTATCATATTTATTCTTTAAAGGAACTAGTAACCAACTTAATTAGAATAAAAATAGGTAGCTTTCCATCATCTATTAATAAAAAAAAATGCTTTGTGAATAAACTGAAACACAGACTTGTGTTTTAGATTTTAACTAATATCTATATAAATAAAAATTAAATGTTCTTATATTTGTCCTCTAGGCATTTCTAAACCATCGTTCTGATTGTGATGAAACTCCGGTGGGTGATTCAGTATACGCCTGCGAAGGTTCCAGGCGCGAAGAACATTCTTTGGGAGTGTTTCTTTCATGGGCCCTAAACCATTCAAGCTTAGGTACCCGAGCAAAGTGTTTACTAATTTATTATATAAAAATGTATATCCAGCACACCAGTAGTTCCCAAGATACAACTCCTGGTTAGATCCCTTTCTAATGAAGTAATAATAGTGCAAAAGTGCGTGTGCAGAAAAAGTTGACTCTCGTATTCATTTGGAGTGACAATTCGACACGACCGGTGAGAATTAATACCGAAAGCTTAACTAGCTCTAGAAAACACAAAGGTGTACAGACTACCAACTTCCTATCTCCTGACTGCTACTGAGTATTTTGTGATAGAAAATCCAACTCCAGTAACTATTTCCGCCGACCTAGGATTCGAATCCAGGACATCAAGATCTGCAGACGTACATGCTAATCATCAATTGATCAACGGAACAGTTATAAAATAAATGTAGGTGGTAAAAAGCACTTATGTCCGCTCGTTGAAACAAAAGCATCACTCCACGTCACGAATTTGAGATAAATGGACAATTGAGGAGAAAGAAAAGAAAAAGAAGAAGAGAAGTGATATGGTTGGGCCTAAAGAGTTATCTATTGATTAACTTTCTTACCACAGAGGCCCGGCTCCCAGGCACAGCGAGAAACACTCGGCGTCGGACGCCGACAAAGCTGTGCGTTTGCTGCCCGCCGCGTTCATAGACGCGCCGTCTCCACTATAAACAAAAGAACATCATTAAAACCCTTTATCGGACTATTATTATAAATGCAAATATTTGTATGTGTGTATATTTGTTACTCCTTCGCTCTGAAGAAGCTAGACGGATTTGGATGTAATTTAGTATACAGTATATGTAGATGACCTGGAGTCTGGAGTAATATACATAGACAGAATGCTGTCAGGTACACATACAAGTGAAGCGAGCTAATATTGCTAGATCTTGATCAAGTGGTGTTGTCTGGCTGTTAAAAGAAATCCTATATTCAGAAAGAAATATGGATATTAGTGAACATGTTCCTTATAAACCTCCCATATTTCTTTCACAGCAACCCACTAGTAGCATACACACCCGTGTGTTATTTCGCGTTCTTTTTGCTGTCGATTTAATAATTTCAGGAAATCAAATCATCAAAAATAGTATGGTGAAGATGATTGTGGTAAATTCTCCATAATTCTTAGAATAACGCCTCACCTTAATATATGTATAAAAACATTCAATAGTGAAGTTTATTTTTAACTAAAGAATTCAAATACGAAGTAGGTAAATATACAAATGAAGTCACGAGTTAATCCTAGTAATATAGATAACGATATATGAAATTGCTTTAGGCAAGCACTAAAATGTAAACATTTGGCATGATAACAAAATCTATTACAGTAAAACACTTAACGAAAGTTTCCATACTGACGCGTTTACAAATATATAGGGTGTTAAGATCTACATAGATATCTTACTAATTCTTAATAATATTTAAATGTCAAAGTTTAGATGTTAGGATGTTTGTTAGTCAATCACGCCAGAACGACTGAACGGATCTGGATGAAATTTGACACAGAGATAGATTATAGTCTGGCATAGCACATTGCTACTTTTTAACCCGAAAAAATGTATGGTTAATTGGTTACACATGGATAGATTTGTTTTTGATTTTCCTTATTCCGTTAGTACATACATATGCAGTATAGTTATAAATTACAACCGAGTGTCTTCTTCATTTCGAGATATCTTTTTCTTTTCTGTGTTTTTTTTGAGAGTTCTTAAATCATATTTTTTACTGTTACTACACATGGCAAGAAGTGTATAAAAGATAGTATAGAAGAAGCCATTTCTTCTCTGGTCCAAAGGGTTTTCTTTCCAAACTGGTGGTGAACTCATGACGTATAGTAAGTCTTGTACACTCACATGTGTTACACCGATAAAAATATTCGATTTTCTAAGGGTCAGTTATATAGGTTTTTAATTAAACGGTTTTATTGGAAAAAAAGGTAATAATGGTGTAAAAAATGTACTAAAAGCTAAATAATGAATAGATAGCTGTCATCACACCACTCTTCTCATTGATCTAGGGCATCGTTTAGACTTCAAAATCAAATCGTAAGGCGTTACATATTTAATCAGGTTACAGTGGTTTGGGGGCTATCTTGGATTCACAATGATACTGAATATATTCAATTGTATTGTCATCAGCACTAAAGGATTGTACCAAATATTAGATCAATCTATCAACAGGAATGGGAAAAATTTTCAATTACTAAATTTGACCTAAATAGAAGAGAGAACAAACAGAGCAAGCTAAATGAAACCGTTTAAATACTGGTTGATATGCTAGTGATGGCGTATTCGGTTCCCAGAAAAAAGGTTGAACAGACTAAACCAAAACGACACTCCGTCTTTATGTCTAAAAAATCATAAATAAATAAAAAAAAACACTTAAAAATGCAATGCAGAGAAAATGACTTACCTGATAAGTTTAATAACCATTTTTCTTTAAAATAAAGTCTTTGAATAAATAAATTAAGACAAAAAATGAAAAACTTTTTACAAAATACTTAAAAATATATATATAAAATGACAAAACAATAACACTTCAAATATCACAAAATGGAATGTTTTCTTTGAGAAACTAAATCAAACGTCACAAGATTTTCAACCGATTTTTTGCGGGTAGTTTTCTAAAAATAATTTCTATGCTGTATGCCATATACAGCATATTATATGTAGAGGGGAGATTTGGTCTTTCCGTGCGTCCAATTTTATAGGAGTCCTGAGCGATACTGTTTATAAATCCATTTGGATTCAAATCTAGAGGCTTGCCAAATTTAAAATTAGACTAACAACGTAAAAGACAAAACATTACGTTTAATAATAGAATATTTTCATCTTGAATTATTCAAGAAAGGACTTAAGATGTGACCTCGCTTTGCTTGAGCCCTAACTACGCCCTGCTAGTCTTTCAGAAACTATTGGCAATACACTAATATTCCACAGGAGACATTGGTATAGAAGTAACAACAGCTGATCACTTAGCGGTTTCACCTCTTTAGAATTTGTCTACATGAGGTCAATATCTACTTAGATCAACAAATCTCACCTGACAATATTGTTTTGGGGTTAGGTCTAAATACAGACATGACTTATTATAATCACTATCTTAGAAAGCAAAACTTTGATTTTGTCTAATATTCTTAGATACTATCGGACAGAGGAAAAGTTGTTATTTTTCCTATCTATATATAGGTTGCAGTGCGACAACAAAAAGTCTGATAATATAGTTATCTACCCAATCTTTGACGTCCAATCAATCCTCTAAAGATGTTTATCTAGGCTACTCAAGGACTAAATTGTATGGCAATTTTGCCTGACACGATAGAGAGTTGTTTGCAATTGAGTTTGCAAAGAAATCAAAATACGGAAAAATATTAATCCATATAAGGCATACAGCTTTTAGAATTAAGCGTTAGTTAAGTTGCAAATGAATCGACAGTTAAAAATTTACAATAATAAAATAAAACCCAAAACCAGCATAAAATCGAAAAAAAAAATAGAGAAAACAAAATAAACCAATACAGCAAAACAAAACAAAACAGACTAAATATACAGAAAAGGAAAGTGACATATTATCATTATCGTAATCTTTAAAATAGCTTATATCATATACATGCCAGATAATATTGTTTACAAAACTTTGCCAATTCACGTCACTTTCTCTAAATTTTAATTTGGGTACACAACAAATGATATCTGTTATGCCAAAGTGTTCTAAGCCCAAGTCCCAAATTACGTAGCTTTGAATAAGATAACAAGTACTCTTGCGTCGTATCCTTTTTAGGTGTAATGACCTGATTGGGAGTCATATAGTGGCAGAAAGTACATAGTGACAAATCACTATCTTTAGCAAGCCACATCTTACAAGATCAACTTGCCTATCAACTTTGGTGACTAGTATTGGTTAGTTACACCGAAATTAGTTCCTTTCTGACAATAGGGATTTTTTTTCGAACTTGTGGTTTAATATTCACATTCAGCGTAAGATAATGGAATCACGTCACCCCTATTATCAGTTACCTCTGATAAATACGAAAGTTTCTTTGTGTTTATTACTTCTTTACACTAGAACAGCTTGACATAAATGGATGAAATTTAGGAATTTAATCACCATATCACAATTATATATGTTCACATTTTCTACTATATCTCACGCCCCACGCCCCTTCTATCTTATTGTTGTTACTATTTTCTACACTTAACGGATGCTTGAAAGAAATCGCTCTTTTAGCAATAAGACCGCCTCTTGTAATTTCGCCTATATTTTGTATATTTTCTTTACTTTTAGTACCTATACAGTAAAGGGTTTATTTTTATTATTATTACACAAATAGACTATGTCCTACTTCCTCAAACGGCACTCGAGTGAAGCGAGCGTAAGTTGAAGTTTACATACAACAATCTATACATTAATCTAGAATTAAATTTATCTATACATATAATAAAAATGTAACTGATCGCTGTCTGTACATGGAAGATATTTGGGAAAAACTATTGTTGGGGTCTTTATTAACGCAATAGAACCCAAAACAATGATTTTTAGAATTTTTGTCTGTTTGTCTGTGCGCGCTAATCTCACAACGGCTTAACCGATCTAGGTGCGGTTTTCACTAATGTATTTAGGTAAGTTTCACTTAACATTTAGTATTTGTTTTATTTCAGTCGGTTCATAAATAAAAAAGTTATTTCAATTTAAAGAATAAACTAGAATAGCTAGTATAACAATATTATTCCACTGTGCGAAAGATTTACATAGAAACTGGAATAACCGACTTTCACAAAGCTAAAGTACCCCCTCACCGTATCTCACGAGATATGAAATTCAAACACCATTACTGCATTGCGGATGTCGGCATTCGTATTATATAACGACGTTTTAACGATCTGTGAATTGTAAAACAGATTGTCTATGACACTCGTGTCATTTATAAATAAAATTGTAATATCTGATTCTGATTTTTAGATCGGTTCATAAATAAAAAAGTAATGTCAATTTAAAGAATAAACTAGAATAGCTAGTATAACAATATTATTCCACTGTGCGAAAGATTTACATAGCAACTGGAATAACCGACTTTCACGAGGCTAAAGTACCCCCTCACCGTATCTTATCCCAATCGGTTCATAAATAAAATATTAATCTAATTTTAAATAACAATAAAGTATATCAAAATAATCAGAAAATCGCTTCATATTAGCATATCATAAAACATGTACAAAAATTAACAAATTCCTCTAAAAAACCTCTTCTTTCTGAAGTCGGTCAAAAATTGAAGATATTCCTAACACAATTTGAGGTGTTAACAATAATAACCATGTTAAAACAACAACTTTCTAGTCCAATGCGTCACTATGTTGAATCTGAGCCATAATATATTTCAGCACTGTATTTACAAATACATTATACCTATTATTTATCGTTTTCGTTAATGGATGTCTACTATTTATCATGTACCGAAAAATATAAAACGATAATATCTAGTTTATATACAGATAAATAAAATTGAAGTGTTTTGCTGTTTGTAATGTCGAAATAACAACTTTTTACTATATGCATACGAAAGTATATAAGGTACATTAAAGAAAAACACAGAATTTAACATTTTTGTCTGTCTGTTTCTTCCGGCTAATCTTGGAAATGGCTCGACCGATTTCGACGGGACTTTCACTGGCACATAGTTGATGTTATAACGAGTAATTTAGGATACTTTTATTTTAAAAAATAAAACAGGATTCCGCTTAAAAAAAATTAAGTCGTTAGTAGATATATAAATAAAAACCGTTTGTTTGTGTGTAGAAAATAGATTTATTTCAAAAACATTGTGACTACGATGACACTGGCCAGTTTCTGCCATAGTATAATTGTGTATTTGACCCCATTAACCAATAATTATATATATAACCAATAATTATTATTGTTTATTTACATTTTAGTAGTTTATAATTTTTTAGCGGTCTTTATTTTTATGTTTTTTTTTCTGTATCATTTTTTAGTTATGTAAGTTTTTAAAATTCCTAATTTCAAAGAACGTTTTGTATTGTCTTCCATTTTTCTTTATACATATATTATGCATGTTGAGTTAGCCTGTAAGTGAGGTATACAATTTCTATCACAGATACATAAGAGTGTGCTCTAGAATAAGAAATATTATTATATAAACGTTGGCTTCTGGCTATTTAAATAAATAAATAAATAGCTCCAAGACACAACTTCTCTAAAAAACACTCTAACCCTGACACCACGATTATTTTCAAAATAAATATTGCTTTGAAATCAATAAATGATTAGTCAAATGACAGCAATGACGTCACAGGTTGCCATTTCCAAGCAAAATGTATGGGAAATTGCTACACACCTAATAAAAACTATATCAATTGTTTGGTGTTGTCAACTACCTATCTAATTGGTGGCGCGTGAGTCGTGTCAGATAGATTAACCCATATCTATATGTATGTATGTATATGAAAATAATAACAAAGCGAAATCTGTACATTGTATATTTTAAAAACAACGACGTTACGTATTAGGTACAGAATATAAACCCCAAATATTTATTGAATTATTCATTTGTTTGTCTGAATGTTTGTCTGTATGTGTGCGTTTCACACAAAAAGTACTGAAGGAATTTTATCTAAAACTAGCGACTCACCCTCGCTCGGGTTCGTCCCTAATTACGTTTTAAAGTTTAGTATAGATTTCTCAGAGATGAAATATTTTCCTGCAGTAAGAGTATTCTATATGTTGACCCGGATAACTAGCTACCATCGTACCAAATTTCATCAAAATCCCTTCAGTGATTTTTCCGTGATGCGGTAACAGACTGACAGAC